ATATATATATATAGGTATATGTAATTATAAAAGTGTATATATGTCTGTCACCAACGTTGAGCTCGTATAGTTTAGTTTTGCGCATGCGCGAGTACGGCGTCTCTCATATATAGAGGGAAGTAGAGGCAAAAGCCGCATTTCTGCGCGCGCTGGTAGAATAATAACAAGAGACCATAAATAGAAATTTCTATCATGGTCCCTTGATAATAATAATAATGATATCGTGCATCTACGTAAAAATATCTATTATTATTATTTTCTATCAATATTTAACAGACGACGGCGAGGTGACGTTGCCATGGTTACGCGCGTCGCTCGCCGTGTGGCGTTATTTATGAGAGCAGACGCCAACGATAACGCGGTTATGAATATTATGAAAAATATATATCGACTGTTTTCGCACAAAAAGTACGAACCTGTCATCGTCTCCTTTGTTGTTGTTTTGTTATTGTTGTTGTCGGAATCGTTACCTGCGACCTTTCATCGTTACTGTGCACTCACGCACGCACGCACGCACGCACGCACGCACGCACACACACACGCACGCGACACACACACGCATAAACATACACGCACGCACACACCACGCATAAACATACACGCACACACCACGCGTACACATTCGCGCACGCACGCACGCACCACGCGTACGCATATACACGCACTCACACTCACACCCGCACACACAAACGCACTCGCGCGCAAGCATGCAAGAACACAACACTCTTTCTTCACTTGTACAATCGTTGCTGACGTTCTACAGTCTTTAGCGCGAAACCCGTGCCATGCAGCAACATATCTGTCAAGGCCAAAGCTATAGGAAGACCGAGTGCTGTCAAGAAAAGGAAGAGAATTAGAGAACGACTAACATTACACAGCACTAAATTTAACTTTAAGAAAGAGCGGGTTATCAAAATAAGAAACGAAACGTTAAGAGCATGAAGAATATTTAATTTGCGCACGTGATGCCGCGTACGTACACAGACGTTCCAAGTGACCAGAAACTATGAAATAAGAAAAGTTTCTTTCACTTGTACGACCTTCTCCATCCGCTTACGCTACAGACTTCGTCTTTTCTGCATGTGCCGTCGGTGATGTGACGTCACCGTATACCGTAGTTGCGAGATTCTATCAAGACAACAAAAATATCAGCAATAAACGAGCTTATATTTTGATTCACGTTCACACCGATAAAAAATATGCGGTGTGCGTCCGCGCTCTAGTTAGAAGAAAAATGAATATACTTCGTGCTGCATTCGTGCTTAATAAGGAAATGTGTGAGAATAAAAGTTACGTAGACGTTCATGCGCGCGTGCGTGTGCGCGTACGTGCGTGCGTGCGGGCGTGCGTGCGTGTGCGCGTTCGTGCGTGGGTGTGTGCGTGCGTGTGCGCGTGCGTGCGTGGGTGCGTGCGTGCGTGTGCGCGTGCGTGTGCGCGTACGTGCGTGCGTGCGGGCGTGCGTGCGTGGGTGTATTTATAGGTATTATTCTAGGTTTTGTTTTTGATTGTGTACTGCCACAGTTGTGTGTGTCGTATGTGTGTTCCTCACCTATCGGATTCTATGTAAATTGTAATTCTCTCTCTATGTGTCTCTCCCATTCTCGCTCACTCACACACACACACACACACACACGCACGCTCACTGCCTCTACCTCTCTCTCTTTCTCTCTCTCTCTCTCTCTCTCTCTCTCTCTCTCTGTCTTTCTCTCACTCTCTCGCTCTCTGCGTCTCTCTCACTCACTCTCTCTATGTTTCTTTCTGTCTATCTCCCTCCTGTCTGGTCCTGTCCTGTCCTATCCTGTCCTATCCCGTCCTGTCCTGTCCAGTCCCTTTCCGCTCTGTCCTGTTTTGTCCTGTCCTGTCCTGTCTCTCTGTCCTGTTTTCGTCTTGTCTTCCATCTGTCATGTTTTGGTCCTGTCCTGTTTCTGTCCTGTCTGCCCTTCCTCTGTGTGTGTATGTGTGTGTGCGTGCGTGCGTGCGTGCGTTTGTGTGTGTGTGTGTGCGTGCGTGTGGTGTGTGGTGTGTGGTGTGTGGTGTGTGGAGTGTGGTGTGTGGTGTGTGTGGTGTGTGTGGTGTGTGTGGTGTGTGTGGTGTGTGTGCGTATGTGTGTACGTATGCGTGTGCGTGTGCGGGTGCGTGTGCGTGTGCGTGTGCGTGTGCGTGTGCGTGTGCGTGTGCGTGTGCGTGTGCGTGTGCGTGTGCGTGACTGTGCCTGTCTCGGTGTCTGTGTCTGTATCTATCTCGTCCTAGTTGTGTGCATGTAGGGTTGGTGTCGGTTCGTCTCTGTTCTCATCTGTTCTCATCTACTGGTCGTTTCCTTAATGGATGTAGATAACAATTTATTAATTTATATTAACAATGGTCTCGTTCCCCCTAATAAAACTAATTCCCGTCTGCTTTTTACCAATGACAATAATTGCGATAAATAACATTTCCAATATTTTCTGTATTAAAGTATCTTTAGAGATCATGGTAGCATGACATCTGGCCGGACCGAGGGACTATCATAACGTACACGGTGCTAAATGCCTCTTTATGTGTTTCGTCTAGATTACAAAATAGATATTGAGTTGGCCAGGAGAGGAGATGAATTATTTTTTATTTATGACAAGCAAATATGCTTTAATAATATTGGAATTCACCTAAATAAGCAAGTTGTTTTGATACCATGATCAATTATGGAATGGCCATGTGAATGAATACAAATGAGCACTTAGCTTATTTACTTAACTAGATTACTTAATATATGTCGCGTGGGTCAGGGGAGGTGGATTTTTTTTATTTATAACAAGCAAAGATGCGTGTAATAATATTGGAAGTCACACAAATAAGCAATTGGTTTTGATATCATTTTCTATTATGGAATAGGTATCGAGTGATACAAATGTGCTCCTAACTTATTTTCAAAGCTTAATTACAAACTATATAATTATCAAGAGTAGATAATAACACATCATTGTGTTATTATCTACTCTTGTAATTATCTATAGTTGGCTAGGGAAGGAGGTGGATTTTTTTATTTACAATACGCAAATATGCCTGTAATAATATTGGAAGATACACATATACGCAAATGGTGTTGATACCACATTCTATTATAGAATAGGTATCGAGTCATATACAAATGAGCAGCTAGATCTTTCACCAAACTCAATTGCAAAATAAATATCGAATGGGGCAAGTGAGGAGGTGGGTTTTTTTATTTGTGACAGGCAAAGACGCCTGTATTTTAATATTAGAAGTCACAAATATAAGCACTCGGTTTTGATACCATGCTCGATTATGGAATAGCTATCGAGTCATACAAATGAGCATCTAGCTTATTCTTCAAACTAGGTTCACAAAATAATTATCAAGTTGACTAGGTGATGGATGTTTTTTTATTCATAACAATCAAAGACGCCCGTAATAATATTGGAAATAAGCATTTGGTTTTGTTACCATACACGAATATGCAACAGGAATCGAGTTATGCAAATGAGAAGCTATCGCTTATTCTTCACGCTTGCTTACAAAATAAATATCTAGTTGGCACAATGTTGACGGCGATTTATTCATAACAAGCAATGATGCCTGTAATAATATTGGAAGCTCATTCAATAATATTGCTTATTTATCAAAATACACTCGTTAAACGCCTACGCCTACTCCCTAGCCCTAACCATATCAGATAGTTACCAGGGTACGTTCCGGCAGGGGACCGTGACCAGGGAGACATAGACCTTGTCTGCAATAGTTCTTAGGCGTTCTTTAGGCGTTTAGATCTTGCCTGGTAAACGGTAGTCAATTTCTCGCAGATTAGTTTTTCACTCTCGCCTAGGCCATCCTTAAAAAATTATATGTTTGCTGTCCTCCGACCAACTCACGAAAATAGCCGCAACTCCAAAGTTTTTTTTTGACGTTTTGGGTTCCATATTTTTTATTTATTTTTTTACATTTTTCATAGTTAAGACTGAAACACAAAGCATGTGTGGCAAACATGAGGACAGACTTAAAATAACTATTATGCCTCACACACAAAATAATGACCTACCTACCTACTCACTAAAAAAATCATGGGTCGGGGGACATGCAGCAAATATAGAATTTTTTAAGGATGGCCCTAGCTATAGTGTTTACTTTCTAACGTAAATACATTATGCGAGGCGTCCAGGGATGTTATATCAACGTAGCACACTACAATACATACCAGATTTAATCCATGTTTGTAGCCATCCATCTCACGCTCTATCATCTATGTCGTCTTCGGTGTCTCTCTGTATCTCCATCTCATCGTCTCGCTGCTATCTCGTGATACAATCACCAATGGCGGATAGTTCTTTCTTCTCGTCACTCGAAACAAATTCACTTAGTCCTGTCACATAAAATGCTTCTTCTAAACTTCATCGACATTTGTATCAGTGTGAGTGTATACGGCGGACGGCGTGTGCACGACTTCACGGCGGCGAGCGAGTGAGAGAAAGAACCAGGGCCGACGTGACCTAAATACACATCCGGCCACCTACTATTGTCAGGTAGAATTAGAAACCCTGCACGAGTGCATGAACCGTCGCGACTCGCGACAGTTCAAAACTGTTATACTGTTAAACCTGTCATACCTGTTAACCCCTGTCATACCCCTGTCATACCTGTCATACCTGTCAAACCTGTCATACCTGTCATACCTGTTAAACCTGTCAAACCTGTTAAACCTGTCAAACTTGTTATACTGTCAAAACTGTTATACTGTTGCTAACTTTTAATATATATATATATATATATGCATATAACGCTCACGGTCGCTAAAATATATTCAACATACGTACTGGTTAATTTTATATTTGAATAATGATTATAGTTTTAACAAACATAATATTGCGTGTAGACTTTCCAAGTCGGTGTTTTTCATTTTAAAAACACAGGTAAAGGGGTAGCGACCCCGCGTGGATAGGGGGGGGGGGTCCCGAGTGCGTTTTTGGTGTACGTGTGTGACAGTGTGTTGGTGGTGGGGTCGCAAGAAGCTGTGTAGGCCTACTGAACAAATATTTTTTTACTTCCAGAGAACAGTACGATTGGTAACTTTGCTAGTTGTTCACAGCAAGTAGAAATTGCCGTTAAATTCTCAACAGCTGTCTAGACACATAAAACGTGGTTTATACACTCAGAGGGTTATTGACTTAAATGAGTAATACGCACAAGCAAACATCGCACACACAGCGACATTTTGCATGTACGACTAATGGGTCTATTACTATTAAAGTGGCTAATGTGTATACTCTTTAAATTAAAATCATGATTTCAACAAAATATTATTTAATTAATTTGATGAAAGCTGTAAATGCATGCAGCTGTGTGTGTCATTTAGATGGCATATCACCACCTATTGGCTGACTTAAATTCCATGAATATTACGCCAGACAGGACATAGAGAGTTCTTATAGAGAGGCACCGGGATTTATTTGTCATGTCTGGTTAGACACTAATTTACTTTGCATTTTGGAAGTACAATTTCCACAAAATATTGGTTTATTTAGCAGATACACAGTATTCGCGAAGACAGGTCGCCTGTGTTACAGAAAAGTTTGGTAAAATTATAAGGAGCGTAAGATTATTCATATGCGCATATTCTAGTATATATTATAGTATATTCTATATACTCTCTATTTCAGTTGTTTAGTTTTAAGAGGAATTAATCTATGCAAAATCCAGTGTGATTATTAACACGCACACAGAAACCAATAGATGAAGGGCTGCAATGATTTGGCTTGCCCTGATAACAATAGATTTATAATTAAGCCCGGCGCACACGTGAGTTATTTTACTCAAGTAAAATGACGCATGAGTCAAATTACTCAACGAAAATCCGCCGCACACGTGAGTCTATTGTTATCAGGGCAAGCCAAATCATTGCAGCCCTTCATCTATTGGTTTCTGTGTGCGTGCGCGCTTCATCACAAGTTTATTATCAGGAACAATACTTAATTATATCGTACGCTAACTAGGATATGGGCAGGAGTCTATCAATGGGTAGGGAGTGGCGGGATGCTGCAGCCGAAGTAAAAGTTTGAGATCGGATTTTGCCATGCATGCACATCTCCTTCGGGCCTCCTTATTTCCATATACCATCTCCTTATTGTTGAATAGGTGACGTTCGCGTGTCTGTGCGTGCGTGCGCGCGTGACCGTGTGTACACGTGTGCAAGTGTGTGTGCATGCGTGTGTTTGTGTGCGTGTGTGCGGGTGTGCGTGCGTGCGTGCGTGTGTGCGTGTGCATGTGCGTGTGCGTGCGTGCGTGCGTGTGTGTGTGCGTGCGCGCGCGTTTACGTGTAAAATTAGCCAAAGAGCTACATAAAATTAGCAAAATTTCCGCGTTGTCTTATTTTTTACTTGCGATTCTGGCCACTACGTGGCGCCAGTGGCGGTAAACAAACACTAGGCTGATTTTCCACTTGCAAACTACGAGTGTACGGTGATAAATTTACTATACAAATAATCTACGTGAGATTTAGTAGAGTGGAGAGAATAGGCTTTGTCGAAATAGTTTCTGTCATACGATAATAATAAAATAACATAAATGTTATTGTTCTAGCTTATTTTATCGCCATTGTAATTTGTACTTTGTAGTGCGTACGAAGCCCTGCTTGTCCGTTGTCGCGACGCTTGAGATGTTACATGTCCATGTACTAGGCCTACATCAGGATCGGAATACGATGTAGTATAGCATGAACATGTAATATGACGTATATTGTCACATATTAGCTCTGTAGACTAGTAGGTACCTCTAACTAGCGACAGGTTGTGACAACACAGGCCACATGCCACTGTAAAGAGTTACATAAGTAGAGCTGAACCCAATGATTGGTTAGGGTGTTAGCATTAAAATGACAATATATACGTGAAAAAAATTGCAATTTACTACTCATTGCTTACAGATCATGGCGTCGCGAGGCAAGAGCGAAACGGAGAAGCTCAAACACAATCTGGAGGAGCAGTTGGATCGGTTAATGGCCCAACTACAAGACTTGGAAGAGTGCAAGTGAGATTCGCAACAACACTAGCAATAATAAAACCATTATTAAGAGTATAGAAACCAACGCAATCCTAATTTAGGTCTTATTGGATTGGGAAATACAATCATCCAGACAAAATCCCTGGTGCTTTTTGAGTGCATTGTCAGAAATTTCTTGGCAGCAATGATTTGCAGCAGACTGGCCCCCATAGGCAGCAAAACTGCTGCTCGTTGCCCCTTAGTTTTGAACCCCGAAGCCTGGCCATGCGCGTAGCCACACCAGTAGATGCCGGGGACGCTGACTCCCTGGCCACTGACTTGCAGGGAAGATCTCGATGCCGAGGAGTACGAGGAAACGAAGACGGACACCGTAGAGCAGCTGAAGGAGTTCCGGGAGTCACTGCAGAAGATGGCGTCGGGAAACATGACCCTCGTCGACGACATCAACGCTATGCAGCTGGTAAATCCGCCCCCACATCACGGAACGCGCCACCTACCCATTGACCCATCTACCTATTGACCCACCTACCCATTGACCCACCTACCCATTGACCCACCTACCTGAGCGATGCCGCATTGCTTATCATTTCACGACACTTGCCGTGTGCCACGTACTCGCACCGTTGACCCACCTGCCCGAACGATATGTAACTATCTCGCATTGCTTATCGGTTCTACGTCCGTTCAAACCGGAGTGTTTGTACGTGGTGCACGCCAAAATGTCAACACGATTACACGTTGTTACGAAGCATCGTTTTTAGAACAGTTTTTATTGACTGGCGCAGCTCGCCGCGTGCGCTAGACAGATAGCTAAATTCTGTCGACATTTGTTTTTCCTGGAAATTTATTCACGACGAGTTCAGACTGCTTGCAGGGAGGGATTCATGTTTGGGGATACTTGTTGGATGTTGCAGGCTATTCAAGCGGCAATATCGAGCGCATTCAAAACACCAGAGGTTATTCGGATGTTTGCGAAGAAGCAGCCGGGGCAATTGCGAGAAAGGTTGGCTCAGGTGAGAGAGACAAGTTTGCACGCTAGCGATGCATTTACCTCTACCAATGCAATGTTTTGGCATCATTGTGTAATGTATAGAAAAAGTAAGCAAAAAATTAGGATTTTCAATTGAGTGGCTGTCACACAGTAAAACCACCTCTCTAGAATGGACACGTACCTGTCCTTAAAGGCCACTCTGTGTTTCCAATCAATCCGTGTCCGTAAAGGCCACTTTGTGTTTCCATGTCACCTGCCTATAAAGACCACTGCCTGTTTCTATTTCACCTGCGCATAAAGGTCACTCCACATTTCCATTCCACCTGCCAATAATACCCTTTCCCACCCCTATCCTCCATTCCCACCCCTATCCTCCATTCCTAACCACAGGCATCCCTCCAGCAGCCAATTCGACCACGCTCACATGCATTTTTCTCGCGGTGGTGGCGGCGGCGGCGGCGCCCCCTGTAGCTGGACCGTGACGCTAAGATCGGGCGACTGTCGGCGGACGACCACTCCCAGCAGAAGCTCGAGATACTCGCGGCGTTGAAGAAGCTGGGAGAGACTCTGCGAGCGGACGAGGAGAGCTACCTGCAGGTGAACGCTGACGCGGCGCTGAAGGCGTTCGAGCAGGTGTCGGGATGCGTAGGTACGTGGTGCGTGAGCACCCTCTGGTGGTGGGTAGGTACGTGCAGCATGCGTCAGCGCCCTCTGCGGGCGAGTGTGTGCATAGGTACTGTTGCGCTGCTGTGTGCGGCATGCGTGAGCATACGATAACATGATCCCATATTATTCTCTATTAAAAAATAAATAAAAAATAAATATATATATCAAGAGTACATAATAGAGGTTAATCTCTATTATGTACTCTTGATATATATACGTCTGAACTTAATATTTTCAATCTAATATTTGTGGTTATCGTTCACACCTTTCTGGACTGTCTCTGCAGCTATTACCTATAACAGATAATTAATCTATTTGTTTATTTACTTGCAGGTGAAGGTGTCTTACAGATGGCAGGATCACAGGTGCAACAGGCCAGTCGATAATTGCATACCAAGATTTACTTTATTAATTATTAGGCTTTTTAAGATTAAACTTTCTACATTAGTAACTAATTCACTAGTCTTCGCTAGATGTATAATATATTGGAATAGCTGTGGTATTATGGATGTGAACTGAGTGTGTGAAGAATTGTTCTGCCTCTGGCGTGTTAATATATTTTGTATTTTTTAAAATAAATGTGAATTTCGTTTGTTTGAAAAATGGTTACATAGTAAATGCTTTGGGGATTAAATGCATTAAGCATGATTGAAATGCATTGAGGTCTATGAAGGTGTGTTACTTTGATTTACCACTATTGAATGGTCACGAATTTCTTTTGTACATGGTTGTAGAATTACAGCATTAAAATGTAAATAAATAAAGCAGGAGAATACATTTTATATGTACATTTGTATGTATAATAACCAGTAAACGTTCCGTCTTCATTGTGAAAGCACGTATTTTACTTAATTTAATGAAATATCAACAAGATTCATATCTACAGTGAAATTGCACGTCACCACCGAACGGCGCGAGTCGCGCAAAATGCTGCACAACACGCACGTCATCGTAAATCATAATCAATTTTAACAAATATATACCGTAATGTGCTATAACGGAAACAAAAAAATCCGTACAACCTGCCACGACTATGCTCTGTAGTTGTCACGGTAACCCCGCAAGCAACAACAGCCACACACCGTGAAATGCACTTCATTCTAAAAACCACACCCGTGCAGTACCAGAGCTGCCATCGACGCTGAGGAATTCTCGCTTCTAATCGCAGGTCGTACGTGAATCGTAGCCGCACAGATGCGCAGTGGCCCGCGGCGCCGGTCGCAGTGATGTCTCCTAACTAATTAACCAATTAACTAATTAATTAATTAACGTGAGAGAAACACTTGCATCCAGCATCAATCCTAGCTTCCCCTGTCTAGTATCCACGCAGCGAGACGCAGCGAGACATGAGTGTAACACGTCGGCGCAGGGAAGCAGAGATTTCATGAAAGCGAGCCACTCATCACGATACGCATCGTTAAATACAACCACGCCATCCTGCTAACTCACCGATCTTACTTGAGACCGGTATCCGTCCACCAGAGGGAGATGGTGCAGGCCATTTTACCTTTTTTTTTTGGTACAGGACTACACGCTACGCTACACGATTTATTCAACGGCAAACTAACGCCTAAATGCGCGTACTCTTACGTACGTTCGTTCGTCCCCCCCGTGCATTTACAAGTAGTATTTACACCCTCTAGCACGTGCCAGTGTGCTGCTGCACCAAGAGGGACACGCCTACACACTAAAAAAAACCGAGTGCCACCGCAAGCACCTAGCATACCTCTAGCTACCTCATCGCTCATCGCAATACCTCATCGCTCATCGCAATACTTCATCGCTCATCGCAATACCTCATCGCTCATTGCAATATTTCATCGTTCATCGCAATACTTCATCGCTCATCGCAATACTTCATCGCTCATCGCAATACCTCATCGCTCATTGCAATATTTCATCGTTCATCGCAATACTTCATCGCTCATCGCAATACTTCATCGCTCATCGCAATACGTCATCGCTCATCGCAATACTTCATCGCTCATCGCAATGCTTCATCGCTCATCGCAATACCTCATCGCTCATCGCAATACTTCTTCGCTTATCGCAATACCTCATCGCCATCGCTTATCGCAATACTTCACGATCCAACTCCACGACATCCAACTCCATGACTTTCTGCTAACACTAACTACGTCAACGTGCGGACCGCGCGAAAAACAGACACGTACTACGTCGATCGTGTTTCCGCGGGTGGCAACGCAAGCTGCCGCATCCTCCAGAAAACTTAGAAGCCGACCGCTTCGTGCGTCCGGTGGGAAAGAGGTAGAGACCTCTGTCGTCCGGTGGGAAAAGCCAGATGCCTGCAGGAGAAACCAGCTTCCTCCTGCGAAGAATCTGCATCGATACGCGGCGGCCATGCAGAATCGTGTCGCGCGCGCGATCGGGTTAGATTCGCCCCCTCCCCCTCCCTCCGTGCACGCGTACGAACGCTCCGTGCAGACGTACGCTCAGAACGACGCACGTCGATATCACACGAAAGTAAAATGCAGCAAGAAAAAGAGTTACCGGTCCACGTTCACAGCACTCGAAATCCCGAACGGACAAACTGATTCGTCGTCATCCGTTGGGATACGCGTTGGGCAAGAGCTATGCTCCGTTCTATGTACCTAGTTCTTTCTGACTAGCTCTTTATGAATGTACCATGTTTCTTACTCAGAAACAAACAAGGTGCATGTAACAACAAACAGACAGATAGACACACGCACGCACACACACGTGTACATACACATCCAAAATACACACATATATACATACATATATATATATGTGTGTGTGTATATATATATACACACACACATATTGTTACAAAACATGAGCTAACGGTCACACGGACGCTTGCAAAATCCGGCGTCAAACGTTGCAGAAATTCAACCGCGACACGCACGCATACGCTTTCCGCATCAGTTCACCGTGACGCCACCGCCGCCTCTCCCCACGATCCCTCCCACCAGAGGTCGCCCTCCCACCGTGCTCGTCTCCTGCTTGCCCGCGACCGCGTCGCCGCCAGGGCGCGCCGGCCGGAAGAACGTCTCGTTGCCGACGTAGTCGCCGTAGTTGAATTTAAACAGGCGTCCGAGGACGACGTTGAGCGCGGACGCGTCGTAGCTGTGGCAGCCAGAGTAGCGGTACATCGGCTTATGCTCAAAGTTGCATCCGGTGTCCTGCGCTCCGATCGGGGCGATGCATTGCGGCGTGAGCGCGCACTGAAGCCACGGCAGCATCACGTGCTGGTGCACCGCCTCCGTGTTGTAGGCGACGAGGTTGCGCGGCTCCACCATGTGGTGGAAGTAGTAGCTGTCGCGCTTCGTGTTGAAGTACGTGAACATCTTTTCGTGCGTGAGCGCGGAGGTGGGAAGCGCGGAGGGCAGCTTCCAGGCGAGGACGCTCGAGGCGCGGGCGCGGCGGAGGTACGGGGCGATGTCCGGCGTCGTTACGCGCACCGACGGGTCCAGGTAGATGACCATGCCAAACTCATTAAGCGTTTCCTGCGAAGGAATAGTTATAGTATTACACGTATACGTACATATATTATTACGCGTATGTGTGTGTTTGTGTGTGTGCATGCGTGCGTGCGTGCGTGCGTGCGTGTGTGAGCGAGAGATATACAATATGCACCGACGGATCCAGGTAGATCACCATGCCAAACTCGTTAAGCGTTTCCTGCGAAAGGTAACGCAGTGGCGGGTTGGTTTTGCCGGGTCGAGTGCAGTTTCGCAGGGTTAGTTTCGTGGGGGCGGACGGGAGGCGGACATGGAAACAAACGTGCAACAAGCACACCTAATCAGAGCTTGTCGTGTAGAGATTAAACGAACGTTGAATTCACCATCTATCTGGGTTTGTTTTCCCCGGGGTGGCAGCAGACGGGCGTGCAAATAAACCTTGTTAAATCTAAACATGTCTTAAAGCTTGTCGTGTCGAGATTAAATGAACGTTGAATTCACCATCTATTCGTATTTATTTGTTTGCTTTACTCACTGACTTTTTGTTGAATTAACCTCCGAGGGCACCCTTCTATACGATACAATACCAGTGCCACTACCGTACCAGGTAGCGAATTTACACGCTATATGTGTCGTTCTTAAGCCTTTATCTAGTCAGTGAACTCAGCCTACCTGAATGATAATTGGTCTGTAGGCATGCAGCTTCAGGATCGAGACGTGAGAGGGATAATCTTCAAACTGGAATTTTCGGTACGTGCAGTTGCAGAACGTCTTCAACTGTAAAACAGATCAGAACAAGTGAGCGAACACACCAACGTATGTGAAGTAGTGTATGTGCGGTATTTCACATAACCGTTTCTTATGACAGTGTAAGTACGTTAACCAGTACTAACCTGTAGTGACACACAATTCTTAGGCTAGATGTAGAAAGGTTCACAAGTTTAAGGTGTGTCATACGTGGTGCCAAATTAATACTTTTTCTCCGGGAGACCCGATGCTTGACTGATAATTACGATGTTTTCGACTAATTAATATCTCACTACTCAGTGTCCTTCTATACAGTGTGTCTTCTTCCTACTAACATCGCCAAGAACATCTCCAGTGCTATTACAAATCTCTGAATTCCCTCCAACTTCTCCTCCATACAACATCAGCAGCTGCAGCAGCAGCAGCACCACCACCACCACCAGCAGCAGCAGCAGCAGCAGCAGCACCATCACCACCACCAGCAGCAGCAGCAGCAGCAGCAGCACCACCAGCAGCAGCAGCACCACCACCAGCATCAGCAGCAGCATCAGCATCAACATCATCATCAGCAGCAGCAGCAGCAGCATCAGCCTATTATATGTGCACAACTTTCTCGCCTCTGTGCGCACCCATACCACCGCCCCCCTCCGACTCACATCGTAGTTGTCGTCCGGGCTGAGGCCGACGCCGTATATGACGAGGGTGCTGTTAGCGAGGTGTCGTCGCACCGACAGCGCAAAGCCGTGCGCCGCCTTCCAGCTGCCGCTCGTCACCGCCGTCACGACGACGGGCGGAGTCACGTTGCCGGGGAGATCTATCGGGTAGAGGCGCGGCACGGGGAGGAATCCCAGCCGCCGCATGTACCTGGAAAGGCAACGTTGAGAAAAATCGTCGAAAATTCTATTATTTCATTATTTTAACTACTCAACACTATCGCATTTATCAGATTTTTTCTCCATGAAAAAGACCGTCTTGAGTACATGTATTTGTATTTATAAAATAAAATAAAAAATAAATAAAAGTAGAAGCAATTTAAATGAGTAACAGTTCAGGGTTCTCTAAGAGCACTTATAGCCTGGCGGCCCGCCAGGCTATCGTCGAGCCCCACCATCCTAAAATGCACCCGCCACTCTAAATATCATAGCCTGCTAAATACCATAGCCACCGGACCCCCCTAGCACGCAAACCGCCTTCGGCGATTTGCGTGCTAGGACCGTAAAGGCAGCACCCGCCATGCTATAATGAAAAAGCTTGGAGAACCCTGCAGTTATCAATGTTTTTTTAGAATGAAGATTTTTTTAGTTGTTTTGGAGTTGCGCATTTCTAGTCTTGTGCAACTAACTAACTGGGCCTATAAAGTCAGATATGGAAGGTTTACTTTATGCGTGTGCTTAGTAATTAAATTTGGGGATTTTTTCTTAGTTTGAGACAGGGACCTGGTTATCTAGACACGAACTTTTAGCACCTTACAAACTAAATGTTTTCTTCGCAGAATGGCGTTAAAATATCTGCCCTTTTAATGGTAATGCATTTTTTTAAAATACATCTGCTATCGTTCTAATCGTAGTTTACGTGTAGCGATCGCATGCACACACTTCTCATCGAGCTCTGGCTGCAACTCCTGGACGTTCGGTCCTGCATAGTTGAGGTTCTTCAGCTTCCCAATGTGCTTATTCGTCTCCTTCACCAGATGCTGGAAGTCGGGAGTCTGGTTGCTTAGCAACACGACGATGATGCTGGTAACTAGGATGCAAAATATACGGATGAACAGGCTCTTCGTTTTCATCTGCCCGAACATTATCGCCGAGCGTGGCGCCCTCCGTTGGCGGGTTCTGGTAGTTTCGGGGCCGCTCAGCTGTTGTGTCAGTGTGCCTGTACAAAGGCTTCAGGCTGGTATGCCTTCCTAGGCTGTCCGCCCCTATGTCGCATGCCAGACCCTATCAAGCAAATGTAAAATAATTATTTGAACAGCTTGAAATATCGTAGTGCTAGGGCAAATGCAGTTTAGCAATCGTTATTGCACAATCCTACTATTCATAGTGATAGTGTAGTTATTAATAATAATATTACATTATTACTATTAGTATTAGTTCCTAGTACTAGTAGTAGTAGTAGTACTAGTAGTAGTAGTTTGGGACCACGGTAATTGTAATTTGTATGTATAATTCTGAATTCGTACATGTTCTAAACTAATCCGGCGTGCTTAACTAGAATTGGACCGCCGTTATTTAGTTATTATCGTTACGTTTACAGCAGTTACTGAGATAGCACACATCGATTATCCTGAATATGCACATCCAGGGCTTGAAACTAACGCTCGCCCGCTCGCCCGAGGCTAGTAGAAATCAGTAAGGGCTAGTAGAATGTCTGGTCTGACCAGCCCTGTTGGCGAGTGGAATTTTTATATTCATAATGCGCGCGTTCATTTTACATACGGCCAGGGTTGCACAATACGCTGCAAACGTACATGTCTAGACGCATTGTCTGGCTTCCTTGATACAAAGTATAACATCACGTGTTTAACAACACAATGTTTCGTTTATTAACACAATGTTTTTAACACAATTATTAACACAATGTTTCGTGTCAATTTTCAATTTTTACTCATCTGTGACTTGACACAGTGTTAGTAATGTTAGTAATGTTAGTAGTATTATTTAGTACTATTATAGAACACATTAGTTAACTTAATGTAAGTGTTATGAAATAAATTTCATGCAACTTTTAATTACTATTATTATACGTCATTGATCCCAGCATCATTTACCACATTACCAATATTTTATTATCTTCATATAATGAGTGAAACAATGCGAATGGCCATGTCTGCTGTCACTGCAATACATACAAAATGTACATGATTAGGCCTTTTGCTTTACAGCACTGAGCATCACGTGAGCAGAGCGCATGCAGCACATGTTTAAATAATACAGTGGCTATTAGATACAATAATGTAACCCAAACCCAAGAGGATAGGGTTACAAAGCCTCCCTATCCT